AATAAATAAAACATACATAAATTAGAAAAAAAAAGTAGCTACATAAATATAAATAATATATCTTTTCAATTAAATAAACCAAAATCAATAAAACGGACAATTAACAAATCACATGAAAATGAAAACCAAAATAAATAAAAACCCGTTAAGATAGAAACGATACACGGAAGCCCTCCCCCCCCCTCCCCTCACACTTAGCGCCCTTCCTTCCAATCCCCTGCAGATTTACCCTAAAAGGATCGAACGTGTCTGGCGTGCTAACCCAAGACACGTGGGGCAACCTGACGTTCCATCAGGTGGTCATCGAAGGGAACCGGATCACGCAAGTTGACAATAAGGCTTTCGCGAACTCCGCCCAGACGCTCACTTTCATCAGTCTGTGTAAGTTTTTTTTTTTTTTTTTTTTTTTTTGGGGGGGGATGTTTTCGTCTGTGAGTATATTTTGTATATATTTTTTTGAAGTTGATTTGCATAACACTTTGATATACAGATGGTTTTTAGTTTGCTGCGCTGACAATGATGAGCGTAATAGTGCACGTGTTCGGGGATGGTGTTTCGCTAATGGTGACGATAGTTATGAGTCCCGAGAAGAAATTTTCGTTAGGAAGGTCATTCCTTTGCATTCTATAGCTGGCAAAGTCACGACGCATTTCACCCAGAGTTGCTTTGTTTCTAAAAGGCCGATATTGCACGTGTTGCATTTAATATGTCGGTTTTGCAGTATATATATTGGAAATATATTTAATTTAATAGCATATGTCGGTTTTCCAGTATATATATTGGAAAGACCATTCTGCCTTCCGTAAGTGGAATACTCGATATGACGCGATTAATCAGTTCTAGAGATATTATGATCATGACTGATAAAGTGCCGAAAAATCTGAAGTATGCACCGTGCGTCAGATTCCTTGGCATAACGTTTTGCTGACGCCGCCATGGGTCAGAATGCTTCGCTTATCCTGATTGCATGAGTGATCGTAACCTTTGAATCTCTTCATGAGGCAGACAGTGATATCGTTTTTTTTTCTCTTCTTTAATTATCTGTTCTTCTTTTTCTTACTCTTCTTACTCTGTTCGTCTTTTTCTCTTTTTTACTCAAATTGTTCGTCTTATTTTCTTATTACTCAAATTACCTGTTCGTTATCTCTTTTTACTCAAAATATTACTCAAATTACCTGTTCGTCTTTTTTCTCTTTTTACTCAAATTGTTCGTCTTATTTTTCTTATTACTCAAATTACCTATTCGTATTTTTTTCTTACTCAAATTACCTGTTCGTCTCTCTCTCTCTCTCTCTCTCTCTCTCTCTCTCTCTCTCTCTCTCTCTCTCTCTCTCTCTCTCTCTCTCTCTCTCTCTCTCTCTCTCTCTCTCTCTCTCTCTCTTCTCACTCAAATTACCTGTGAAAATAACATCGGCCTGCTTCCCGTACCCTCTGTCTTGACCCCGATGTTTTTTCCCACATTATCGGCCTTAGTGACGGCGTGAGGGATTCTTGTCGTTCCAGACCTCTTGGACTTTGTATCGGCTTAGCGTTATCTTCCTTCGTCGGCCCTTGAGTCTGCTGTTACGTCTGAGGCGGACTGGGTCTTCATGGGCTGACTTGGCAGTTCTTTTAGCATGTTGGTCATTATCTGGAGAGAGTTGTAGATTTATATCAAGGGCCTAGTTTTTTTCAGGTTATTGTCATTTCTCTTAGCTACGTGTTCTGTTTATCTATATATTTCTATCTCTGTTTGTCTATATATCTCTATTTCTATCTGTCTGTCTATCTATCTATCCCTCTGTCTGAGCGAACTGGTAAGCCCGTCTTTACATAGGTGCGTTTGCAGTGAAAATTAGTTAACTGTGAGTTCGAGACGAAACAAGTATCTTTTCTTCGCGTTTTCGTCTAAACATTAGCGAATTTGGTGCAGTTGGGTTGCAAATGATTTTTTCTGGTCTGAGATAGTAAATTCTTATTCTGCAAAGCCCCTTTTAGGAAGCGGTTCTCCCTTCCACTCCCCCTCTGCATTATGAGATACTCCCCTAATTTGTTTCGTGGGATAAGGAGGGGATTCAATAAGTGTAGCAAATTGTTCGCCCAGGCAAACCATAAAAAGGCCAAAGTTAGTAATAGCGATGTTTTTGCATTTTTTTATAGCCCACGCTTTTGTCAAGAGAACAACAAATGTAATTGGAGATTTTACCTATGGCTCGCATCCCCTTGGAAATTAAAAACATCCCCCATGTTAAGACTCACTGGGCTGAATGGACTAGACTCAGGTTGAGAAAATACTTAAGATATCGACTGAGACACCCATCGTTGCTACAGTTGGTTCCGCGGACTAAAACTACAAAACATCATAAGAAAGTCCATCTGCATCAAATTTGTTAGTATCGGTGACGTAATGTTAAGCCGAATCGGTCTATTGGTGCGCAGGTGTGCAATGGGACAGGTTCAAACACCAGCATGCATAAACATTTATTTCACTTCTTTTATTTTCTCAAAAAAAAAAAAAAAA